ACACACACGCAGATACTTAAGCAGTCACCCGAGGACCTGCGGGGTTCTTGTTTTACACACTTCTGGTCCCTGCCAGCTCCAGGTAAGTGCAGGCTTTGAGCTGGGGGTGCTGGGGTGGATTTGCAGTTGGGGATGTGGGGGGGATGGAGGGAGGAGCTGACCTGCACTTGCTGATGCTGGGGAGGTGGGAGCAGCACCCAGCAGGGCTGTGCTGGGAAAGCTTCATGCCTGGGGCGGGGAGAGGGGCAGACAGGCAGGCAAAGACCCCAGGTTGGGGGTACCACGGGGACCTGCCTCTGCTTCAGCAGCTGCTGTGCTCGTTTGCTTTGGTCCCATCCGATATTATCTTCTAAAAGGCTGAATGGGTAGTTTACAGGATGCATGACAGGTGGTTTTTCCTTATTTATGGCAGGGTCTGGTTTATTTTTAAAGCTTCTGTCCCACCTTATCCTGTGCACCATGCCGGCTGATGTTATCCACAGCCACCCCACAGCAGGAGGCCGAACAAAGCTCAGGACAGGACATGGCTCTGCAGCAGAGCAAGGGAGGACAGGAGGGCTTGTTTGCATTGAGAACTGCTATTTTGATCCCTGCAGTAGCAGGAAATAGCTGCAAGCTAAAACCAGACGCAGATGCCTCCAGTCACATCCCAGCCATGACAGTGGGGAGAACACCGGGGAAGGGGTCAAGAAACCCAGCAGGGGCTATGGGGCCCCATCAGCTGGGCAGGAGCTACTGCTCAGAGAGTTTTCAAGGGGCTTCAGGTGCGGTAAATCGTTAGAAAGCTGCACAGCCAGCCAGCTATTGTGTCTGCTGTTCAGAAAAGCAAAGCTGAGCAAACAGAGATCATGTCTTTTCTGGAAAAGTTGCTGCTTTCTGCCACGATAGTAAATGCTGACCGCACTAGCAGTGCTGGGCAGGCATGCTGGGAGACAGAGGGATGTCCTCTCCTGTCTCAGGCCAGAGCTGGGAGCCCTGCTAGTAACCCCAGGGTGTCTCTGGGGAGCTGGGTGCAACCACAGGATTTGGCAGTATAATTGCGGAGGGAGGTCTCTCTCGACCCCACTGCTCCTACCTCACATCTAGGTCAGGTCACTCAGGGCCTTGTCCAGCTGATTTTTAGAGGCCACCAAGGATGGAGGTGCTTCCACCTCTCTGGTCCCTGTCCCCATGTTGGACCACCCCCACTATGAAGATTTTTTTCCCAATATCTAATAGGACTTTCTCTTGCTGCAACTTGTGTCCATCAGCCATTGCCTTTTGTCTGCTCACTCCAAAATGGCCCTGGAGGTGCATTTAAATGCCCCATCAGCCACACTAAGAGCACCAGGTGCTGCCTGCACAGCCTCCACGCACACAGCAATGCTGGCTGGAGCCACCCGCAGCCCAGGCAACCAATGAACCCCTTGCAAGCTTCAGCTGGTGGCTGCTCTCACATTGCTCCACCTAAAACCAAAACAGTTAGTCAGAGGCCAAGTGTGAATTCCCCAGGGCTCTTTAGCTTGACACGTAGGACAGAGCAGGTGTCACCGGTGCTATGGTTTCACTGTGACAGTGCATCTGGCATTGTCATTTCTGCCTGGGTGAGTAACCCCCTGCCACTGAACTCTCATCCCTGTGCTGCCCAGGGGAGACAGCAGTGGGCATGGGACTGCTCAAAGAGCTGAATGATGACCACAGCCCCCCAGCCTTTCTGAAAGCCGAATAGATAGTTTACATCCTTCGCACTGAAAAAGCCATTTTTTTCCAATGCCTGCAAAAATTTAGGCAGAAAAAAGCAGTGAGCAGTGGTGCTTTTCAGCAGCTGAGCAAAACAGTTGTGATTCTCCCTATTTCTGCCAGGCTTAAAGAAATGTGAGCAAGAAAATCACCTCTCCTGTACAGGGGAGAGATCCTGTGCAGCCTGAAGGCCAGGCTCCAGGCCTGAGCTTAAATGGGGCTCCATTTAAGTAGTAGGTAGGTGAGCAGTGGTCCAGATACAGCCAATCAGGACATTTAGGGACTTCTGGTGCCCTCAAGTCCTGTCACATACCCCCAGTTTTTAGCACCCTTGAGGTGCCAAGTGCTAGGTGCCACATGCTGCACAGGGCCACACGGCTCCTGAAAACCTGCAGGGCACAGTGGAGCAATGTGGGGAGACCTGCAGAGCCCTCCAGGACCCCCAGGGTTTTGACCTTTTCCTGAAAGCCCTCTCACAGCCTTGAGAGGTAGGAACTATTCTCCCTCCAGAGCAGGGGTAGAGGGGAGACAAGGAAAAAAACATCAGGCATCACGTCCTGTGTGCTGGGGCACCCTGAGCTGCCAGCAGGTAGAAGATACTGTGTCCTACGGGGAAATGCCTCAGGAACATGGAGATTATCAGAATTAGAAACAGCTGCGAAGATGAAACATGAAAGTTGAAGCACATGTTTGTTCGCTATGCAAATCAAAGCACACACATCAATGTACATTAATTGTACAGGCTGCAAATGATGATTTATAAACCGCCAGGACATGTAGCTGCTGGTGGCCCAGGCTAGATGCATGATCCAGAGGTGATGAGGAGCCCTGTGGTGACTGGGCTTTCTAGGAGAAGGGCGGGTGGCTTGGAGTTGACATGGGGTGCTGATCAAGGTGGGGAGGAAGGACTTGTGGCCTGAGCCTGGCCTCATCTGCGTTTTGACCTCATGGAGAGCCCGGCAGCCACAGTGCTGGAGAGCAGCACCTCAAGTCCAGGCGATCTCCTTCTCCCCTGCATCATTTCCAGAGGTCACCAAATGCCCAATGTAGGTAATCAGCATTCACCTGGCCCCCACCAGCTCACGTGCATGAGCGGCTGAACTTTGTCTGCCCCCTTCCTACACGGACACCTCTGAACTGAGCTGACACTAGGAAAGCCCAGGGAGCTGCTGCCGCACACCTGTGGCTGCAACATGCTGCAGACAAGGCCAGGTCGGCTTGCAGCACCTGGGGTTAAAGATGGTCTTTCCCCAGTCCAGCCAGGGTGGTGGATGATGCCATCTACCCGTACACTCCATCACGCTCAGAGGTGCTCTGGCCTTACGCAACCACTGTGTTACAATCAGTATTTACCAAGTGACTCAAGCAGAGTGGGCTGTTTCACAACCAGCCCTGGTCTATTTATAAGCCCCTACTCAAATGCCAAAGGATCCTTTTATTAGTCAAAACAACCTCTGGCAGATAAGGCTCAGTGGGGCCTGTGCTTTTTGAGGTAAAGCTGAAAGAAGGGAATCTCTCCAGCCTCTTGTGAGTAGGAGAGCTGGCTCTCTGCAAGCTGCAAGGCAGTTCTGGAGCTGAGCCCCATCCCAGCACTGTTGTCAGCAAGTGGGAGCCCTGGGGCATTCAGTACACCCCAGGGTACCAAGTGGGTTAAGGCGAGTTATCTGTCAATCAGGAAAGCAGTTGGGTTTAAAGCTACGAAGTAGAGGTGCAGCATGATGGAAGTGCCTGGGTTACATCCCAGAGCCAAAGGGTAGGAGAAGCTGGACTGCAAAGTGGAGGCAGGGCAGGTCTGCAGCTGAGGAGGGGAGCAGACGGCCCAGAGGAGTCCCACGGTGGGCCAAGGGCTCCTGGCAGCACTGGAGAGCCAGCAACATCAACCGGCCTGCCTGACAGAGATGGGCCAGGCAACTCGGACAGCAGGAGAGCAGATCAAGAAAGGCCACATTTTTGCATCCAGCTCCTCCCCTGCCAACACCCCACAGCTTGGTTTCGGAAACACCGAGATGATTCAGTGTCAAGGGACTTCTGCATGCTTTGTGGGGGCAATGCCTCGTGTTTTAGTTGACCGAATTGGCAGGCTTGACCCTCTGCCACACAGGAGCAAACTCAGAGCCCTGCAGAAGAGAGGTGTGGGACTTACCCGAGGTGTACTTACTTGTTTTGCTTGTGCCTTGTGCCAAGTCTGCCAGAGATTCATGCAAAGCACAAATGGGACAAACGTTACTCTGGAGCAGAATGTGGGCTCCTTGCTTCTGCCATTGCTGGGAGCACGTAGCACTGATCACAGCTGAAGGCAGTGAGCGCTTGGGCAACGGACATGCACAGGGTATGGTTCTCCAAAGACTGACCCTTCACTTAAATACCAGAAAAAACCCAAACAAACAGTTCAGCCATGCTCAGGAACAACATGAATAACTGTTTGTGCCCATGCCTGATAACATTAAATATTAGTAAAAACAAAGCAGCTCACCTGCTCATCGCCAGCTTTGTGTGATGTCTGGCCATGCTGCTAGGAGGAGGACCAGGACATTGATCAGGAGGGAAAATGGGGTGATTGCTGGGTCCAAGCCCACGCTCCCAAAAGATACCGCATCCTCTGGTTTGTGATTCCCCTGCACAAACTTGCCTGGTGGCTGGGGAGAAGAAAAAAAACCAAAACACTAGGCTGGATGGCAGATACTGTCCCCTCACCCAGAGGATAAATAATGTTTTTTAATTAATGTCTTTAAATTAACCCCCCCAACATGCCCATTGGTGTGACATCATTCCCAAGCGACGCCCAGGCCTAAATACGGCTGTAAACAGGAATCGTCCCCACGGGAGTCACACTGGCTATAAATACAGCAACAGGGGAGCACTGAGCAGAGGACAGGCTGCAGTTTCCTGCCAGCTAAGGATGGTGAGACAGCTCAGCTGGGCACTGTTGGTGTGTGGTCACCACAGTGGGGAAACTGAGGCAGGAGTTTATCAGGGGCTGGGGCTCCTGGCTGAGCTCCCAGGCATGCCTTTGGGAAGGGAGTTGTGCCCTGCCGCGGCCGGAGGCCACTGGGGAGGGGAGAGCTGGTGGCCACGGGGATGGGAAATCTGGGCTCAGCAAGTGTGGCCCCACTGGCCACTCCCAGCTTGGGCAATGACGCCGGCCCCTCTCCACAGAGTCTGGCCCCATAGCCCTGCCCAAGGAGGAGATGGCCACGGAGAAGCCAGTGACTCCCACTGAGGAGCAGCTGGAGATCCTGGAGTACAACTTCTGCAAGGTGAACAAGCATCCTGACCCCACCACGCTGTGCCTCATCGCGGCCGAGACCGGGCTCTCTGAGGAGCAGACCCTGGTGAGTGTGCACCCCGTGCCTTGGCACCTTGGCCCCACCTCTGCTCCCCCTGTATCCCTCTGTGCCCCCCACCCTCTCCCTGCATCTCCTGCCTGTCCTGTCCCTGGCTTTCTGTCATACTCTTCGTTCCCTTCTGTCCCACCACATGCTCCCTGCTGCACCCCCTGCACCCCTCTGTGACCCATAGGCTCCCTACTTGCACTGCCTGCACCACTCTGCACCCCGCATACTCCTTACTGCACCCTGCACTGCACCCCCAAATCCCCTCTGCCCCTCTGCGACCCCCAGCGCACCCCCAACCCCACACTGTACCCACAGAGCTCTACTGCACCACCGCACCTGCCTGTACCCCCCATCCTCCCTGCACCCCACATGTTCCTGCCCCTGCATCCCCAAAGCCCCTTCCCCTGTAATCGTAGCCCCTTCGTCCCACAGATGCGACCTCCTGCACAGCAGCCCTGTGCCCCACTGGGATCCTTGCACCCCCCCTGCCCGGGAGCCCCATCCCCAGCCTGGGCTTGGAGACCAGGCTAGTGCTTCCCACAGCCAGAACAAGGGCAAACCCCGAGGGTCCCCGAGGAGCCCTGAATATACAGCCATGCATGCTGTCCTTTCCTTCCAACCCATTTCTGATAGTCTTGGGTGCCCAAACCACTGCTGTCTTTATAGTCTGAAGAAACTACAGTCATTTTAAAACAGATAGAGGATAGATGCAACACCTGCAGACATGCTGCGGGACATGCTCAGGCTGTGCACACTCCCCCTCACTACAATTAGCTAATTCAGCGTCCCCAAGCCCAGATGTCAGGCAAGTCTGTCAGCCTCTCCAGGAGACATAGAGGCCTCCAAATGTCACTGCACAGGGACAGGCTGCCACTGTCTGGGGCTTCCACTGAGCTCTGTGCTCCTTTTGGCTACCTGCAGGCTACCTCGGGCTTCAAAAGCAAACAGCTCCTTCCCAATTCCTTCAGGTTGCAGTGCAGCCATTTTTGATGCGGGTGTTTTATAAGCTACTAGACCACAGCAGCACTGATGGGTTTACAAAAGAAATCCAACCCACTGAAAAGTTAGCAGCATTTTGCCGAGAGCTGCCAAGCTTGGCTCTCCCTGGGCAAAGCCAAAGGGATACGAGAGCCGAGCAGACAATGCCAGCATTTAGCCTGTCCCAGGGAAGGATGCTGGTATAACATCCATTGCACTGATAGTCCTTGGCTGGAGTGGAAAAGCAGACCCTCCTATGCTGGGCTTTGGTGACAGGCAGGTACCACTGCTTGTTTGAGGCAGCGAGAAGGCAGTACCCCCGAAATACCTTTTCCTCCTTAGAAAGGCCACTGCTCCATTTTTTTTCCTAAAGCAAGTTGTAAACACAGGCCATATATGCCCAGGACACCTCTGGAGATGTCTTAAAATCTTCCCTGATAGCCATCTTTTTCCACGAATCCAGGGTGCTCCTAGAGATCTGGAGATGAAGGTCATGTTAGGGACAGGATTGACACTGGGATGGTGAGCTGCAAAGTGCCTGCATTGCGTATGACACAGAGAATCCTTGCTCCTGACATCCGGAGTGCTTTATTGGCTAGATATAGCAGCTATTTTAATAAAAAATTTAGTAAAAATGAGATGCAAAGAGGTACTGAGTCAACAGGAGATGATGGTTTAGGATAGGAATTGAAATTTTTGGGAGGAGGCTAGGCAGGCAATCATCTGACTGGATGTGGTCCAAGGCAGTGCTAGTGCGAGAGCCACTTGTAGAGAACACTGTGGTTGTATCATTACAGACCACAATAGCTTCAAAAATAGCCATGAACTAATATAGCAACAAAATGAGCAGCAACAAAGCAAATCACAGGCACATTCCCAAATAAAAGACTGAGCTGTGCTTCTGGCACAGGAGTTATATCTCTCTTCTTACGGAGGTAGTGTGCATTTTACCTAACATTTGAAATTGAGGCTGTGTTGAAGTGGCATCAGCACCTCTGGGAGTTGGCTTAGAGATGCTAAGTTACTACAGAATAATGTAGCCATGCATATTGCTTGAAGACTAAGAAATTTTTTAACCCATTTTTTAAATCTATTTGTTCTTAAATTTGCTGAGAGACACATGTTGTCCCTCATCCTTTCTGGAGCAGGTCAGCTTTTGATTCCTGTCGGTTTTGGACCTGCAGTGATTGTTTCACTGCTCCAGTCATTTAAAGACACCATCCAGCAGCTCCTTAGCCAATCTCTTACTCTGTTGCAAAAAAAACCTGGACTCACAGCAATAAAACGAGGACTCACCCGTGCTGTCAAGGTCTGAGGCAAGCAAGAGAAACAAGTTTGAAAGAGATGAGCACATAGGTAACAGGACCGTTTGGTCAGGACCGGCTGTCCTGCTGCCTGTACTGCCTGGGAACAGTGCAGCGCCCTGCTACAAGATAGCAGTGCCGTGAGCTTCCCTCGCCTGGTCCCACGTGCTGACCACATCTGCACCTTTAGCAAAGGGTTTGCTCAGCCCAGTGCACTCAATCTCTCTTTTTTTTTTCTCCAGAAATGGTTCAAGCAGCGCCTGGCAGAGTGGAGGAAGTCTGAAGGGCTGCCCTCAGAAAGTGGGTCTGTCAGGGACTAGAGGATGCTGCTCCGATCCCCATGCCTGCTGTAAATGATGGTGAAGCTCTTCAGAGTGGGTTTCCTTGGGGTTCTTCTGTTGCAATATGTTTTAAGATACAAAGTAATACCCTGCTATTTAACATAAGTTTTATTTAAAGTGTACATAACCAGGAAAAAATATTTTATATATATATGTGTATACAGCTGCTGATGGCTGCATAACCTGTCTAGTGATTGCCATCCATTAACAGCGGCTGCAAAGGGCAAGGCAACCTCATCCCTTGTCCCAGGCTTGCAGAAAAGCTGCCATGAAAGGTTCAAACATAGAAGGGGGGAAAAAAGATTTCTTTTCCTTCTGATCCCCAGAGGCAAAGTATGTGTGCTAGCTTTAATATACAGATCATCCGCAGAAGAGGGCACCTGGAAAACTGTATGTGTTGTTCAGGTGAGCTCTGGGTATTGGCAAACCGAGTGCCTACACCATAATCAGACCAAGCCAAGAGCCCCTTGAATGCATTCTCACATTTCTGTTAAAGGTCACCAAAGGGAAAGAACTGGTCTTTTTAATTTTTTCCAATGCATTAATAAAAAACCAAAGTTTTTTGATGAGAGGAGCTGTGTTATGTCACTGCTTGTGCTCCCTGCCCCAATGGCAGGAGGCAGACTCCTTCCTCTGGGAGGGCAACACCTCTCCTAGGCAGCCTCAGTGGGGACCATGGGTTTTCCCTCTTGCCATAGGGATAGCCCGCAGACACGGGCAACCTCCTCTCCTAGGGCACCCACAGAGACCCATGCACACCCCAAGCCCCGAGGTGGCAGAGGCTGGTGGTGCTGGGGCTGCCCCAGCCTCTGGGTGGGGTGGGGGAGGCAGACCCCAGCCTCCTTCTGGCCATGCAGCTGCGCTGGGGCTCTTGCACAAAGCCCAAACTCTCATCCATCCTGGTACAGGATGATGCATGGGCTAAAAAATAACCAGCACAATTGCCCAGTGACCTTACCTTGTTCAAAAGGGTTCAAAAATCCTCTGCTTAGTGGATTATTGAATCAATTAGTGGATCCTCTGATTAATCCTCTTCTGGTTTGTGGTCACCTGCCTCTGGTCCTTTAGAAGGAGAATCAGCTTAACACAGGGAAGATTAAAATACACTGGCACTGAAACTGCCACATGCTTTCCTTTATGGCTTTTGTCCCTTGCTGGAGAGCATCTCTCTTGCTTCAGTATCTCCAGCCCATCGACAGTGGTTAGGTTGCCAGTGCAAAGCACATCAAACTCGTTGGAAACAGATAAAAGCAGTCTCCCTGTGCCATGTCCTACACAGGCTGTGTTTTTCCCCTGCAATCCAGCTGCCAAACTGACTTGCCCTCAGACCCGACTGGAGCTCAGAGTTTGTTCTGCAGAGTCTGGCACTGATACCTGTTTTCTTCTTAGTCTTTGCAAAGTGCCTTCTCCCTTACACTAAGGCGAACTCTGCTTTTTTGAGTTAGGCTCCAAAAATCCCAATGCAGAGCTCCATTATTTTGCCCAGGGTCACACAACTGAATCACAGATCTAACCCACCTGTGGAACTTGTATCAAAGATGAATGCAAAGCAAAAGGCTGGATCTCCCCGTTCTAAAGGCATTTGAGAAAACAGCCCCCAAATCCAAGCCAACTCAACACACATGCCACCCCAGCATTTCCAAAGTCTGTACTAAAGCTTTGCACCTTATCAAATCCCGCCCTGGATCTGGAATTCTGCAGCCTTTTGTGTTTCGACTTCTGTCCCAAGCACAAAACCTTGAGTGTCACTAAGATCTCTAAACTTTAGCAAAAATTTTGAAACCCAAGGTCAGGAGTTGTGTTGCATCAACCTACTGTGCGCCGTCAGCTTTGGTTTGCCACACTTCCTTATGTGAAAGATCAGTTCCTGTGCTGGCTTCCCCCAGCAGTCGCTTCATTACTTCTTTAACTATTACAACAAAAAAATAGTAAGAGTGATAAACTCCAGACATTAGAGGCTGGAGGCTTCCCACATTAGGGAAGAGGCTTCCCACATTAGGGAATTTGACCACATTAGGTCAAATTCTGCTCGCTTCCCCTGATGACAATTTTGTTCTTAAGAAATGATCATTTTATTTAACTCCCCAGATAAGCCCAGTAAAAGTGGCTGCTCGTAAGAAAATGTTCCTGCTGGGTGTTGCCTCTGCGCCGTGTTCAAGCAGGTTTTCCAGCCACAGCACAGCCCGAAGAGGGTGATGTTCCAAGGGGTGATGGGGACAGCCGGCACGAGCAGTGGGCTGTGTTTCTGAGGGAGCTCAGTGCTTAATCGGACGAGCCAGTTCCTGGATCCGAGCAGAACAAGTTGCCTTCTTAGCAGTCTCCTTCACTGTGAACGCATCTGGGTTGAATTGAGCCAAGCACATGGGAGGCCTGGGGGAGCAAGGACAGAGCCTGTCAATTCCAACTGGCACAGGGCCAGCTCTCAAAGCTGCCTGCCAGCTGACACACCTCCACCTGAGTCCTGCCCTTCCCTGTCACGGGAGGACAAAAGCAGTCATACCGCCGCTGCTGTCACCAGGACACTAGTGAGAGGGGGTGCCCCATCTCTCACTGAAGCTGTCACAGCCACTACAGCCAGGCATTCCCTCACCCTCTGTGAAATATCCCACCCAGCATTTCCTGCAGCCCAGGCTGAGGCCAGCTGCATCATCCTGGGCAACATGAACGCGCTACACTCTGCCACGTGTCAGCTGGTTGCTTTTTAGTTAATAATTAAGAAGTCCCAACCAGTAATTTCTACTGGAATTAGAAAGTTCCTATTTCTTCTCTTTTGGTTCTCCTTCCACCTCAAAAATGCTTTTTAAACCACAATCCATGTAGCATTAGCACATCCAGCCATATAAAAGCCATGCATTTTGGAAGTGGAAGAGCAGTGGCTTAGCCGTGGCCTGCACAAAAATGGGCTGACAGCTGATCATTTCCCCATGGCAGGGAAGCAGCACCTACCTTTTGCAAGGCTGGGCCAGTTCCACGAGCCTTGGTGTGGCCACTGCGTGCTTTGCAGCCTTCGCCACTGGCCACTCAGCATCCCGCAGGGGCACATAGTCAGGATGCAATCTTTTTGCCATAGCCAGCTCCAGGGTCCGAGGGCTTGCAATGGCCTCCTGAGCGAACCTGGAAACCTGTGGAAGAATGGGGAGGAAAGTCCTTCCATGCTCCTGGCATTCAAGGGTGACAAGCCTGCAACACAGTGTACCCAGGTTCACAACCACTGACCACGCACAGATGGGACGTGATCCTGTCCACAGTTGTGTCTGACACCAGATAAGCTGTGGAAGGAGAAACCACTGCCTGGCCAGTCCCACAACCTGCCCTCCAACCTCCTCCTACCCATAGCCCTTTGTCCAACCCACCCCCCAGCACTGGAGATCCCAATGAGACACTTGTCCATCTCTCCCCATCTCCACAACTGCAGGCTAGGCACAGGTCTGCCCTTCTCTGGGGATGTCTGCTGGGAGCCAGTTCATGCTCCAGATGGAGGACGAGTCCTGCTCTCCAGCCCCAGAAGCAGCGACGTCAGCCTCACAGACAGTAGCACATCCAGGGCTGCCATAAAGAGAGCCACCAGCAACTGGGCACCCAATGCCCTCCTCTCTGCCTGGCACCCCTGCCATGCATGCTCCTGCCTTACCGGACGGATGACAGATTCGGGAAAGCCGTGGTCATAGCAGCAGGTCACCTTCCTGACCCGGGGCTCTGCAAGATGCTGTAACCGCGAGGATGCTCTGGCCACGGCCGCGACATTTGTAACCTGTGTTGGCACCTACAAGGATTCAAAATGGGGGGGGAGGATGTGCAGACACAGAGCTTGTCCACAGCAGCCCACAGGGACACACTCCCTCTCCAAAGGGATGAGCACCCAGCACCCTTTCTCTACTGACACAGTCACAACAAGGAGCATTCTTACTTTCCCAGCACCATTATTTTTCTTTCACCCAAACTACAAGGTAATTTTGGCACTATTGGGATTTGTACATCTTAGCCAATATTATTTTTTTCCCCAACCGTCACCCACTCGTAGCCAGGAGAGGAATGCCTGTAATTAGAGCCTGTGTAGCCAGGTAAAAGTGCAGAGAAATTTCTTCCAGAGTAGAGAAATATTTTTCATGTTCATCTTCCTGGCTGAATCAAATAATTTCCTTGCTAAGGAAAGACGCTCAGATTTCAGGGTAAAAATGCTGGTGCAGTTAACTGCATTCCTACAGCAAAAGTGATTACTGCTCCAGCATGGGACTTCTTCCCCTACTTTTCATGGGGTTACTGATGCCAAGGCCCACTCCAGCACAGCCTCCCTTATTTCCCAGCCCAGAGACTGCAGCCAGAAAACTTAGCCTTTGCCATGGAAATGACTGTAATCTGAGATTGCCCCAAGCCCTTTCACCCCTGCCAAAGCAATGGCCCGCCTAAAAGGAGCAAGTTCAGAAATACATCTCTAAATCAGGCTTCTGGTAAAACACTGTTAAAATATACATAGTGTTTTCAGGCTCATCCCCCCTATATACACAGATAGGAGCACAGCTGCCCAGCTACAAACGCGACTGTACTCCCTAGGAGCTAAACAGGCCATTCCCATCAGGATTCTCCACTTTCCCAGGCTGCTTTATTAGGGGATGCAACCCAGATTCCTCCCTTGGCTCTCCTGCTATTCTAGGCTGCTCCAGCCTGGCTGTTTTCTGCCTCTCAGCAGGGAGATTTTCAAAGACAGCATCTCACTCCAAAAAGGCAGTTTCTCTCAGTATCACAAACCCCAGCAGAACCAGACCACTTCTCGCCTCCACAGCACACACTGGGCACATCCGGGGCAGGATACAGAGTGTAAAAGCTCAGGACAGTTGGCTGCATCGCTGTCCCCTCCAAATCTCACTCAACAACCTCCTCACCTCTCTGGCCAGCAGGAACTCTGGGTGCAGCATCTTTGGCCGTGCAAGCTCCAGGATCCGTGGGGAGGCCTTATAGTTCAGTGCAGCTCGTGACACGGGCCACTCGGGGGACTGGCGAGGTCTGGAAGCAGAGAGTCATGGCACCACCACTCACGGATATTCCCCCACACTGGTTAAACCAGGCTGCAGCTGGGATGTTTAAGCCCCATGTTTGCTGCAGTAGAAGGCAGCTTTGTCTTGTGGCCATTTCCAGCGTAGAACCCACTCATCCCATGAGAGAGTCCAGAGGTCCTAATCCCAGCATAGTCCCTGCTTTGCATTTTGCCCTCTGTTGTACCCATCCTCTGTTCCTCTATTTATTACTTTGAAGCTGCACTGATGCTACAAGACCCGAGGGCCTACCTATAG